CTATCAGTTATCACCGGCATAAGTCGATATCAGAATGGAATCGTTATAATACGAAATAAAAGTCCACTGATTTAAGAAGATTACAAATTGTACACCCATATTATGCGTATATGATAATATATCATATAAAAAAAATTATGGGTATATACACTGTATTGTAAAAATGAAATATAGTTCAATGAATACACAAACGTAAATGAATAATAAAGAAAAACAATCTTAAATTAGTGAAATTACGCGAAAAAAGTAGAAAAAAAATGTGAAAAATCCGGGCGGCCATAGTATAATCAATTGGTCGCCGATATAGAACCGCAGAATCCTCCACAATTTACACTGTTCAAATAACATTTGTTCACACACAACTAAAACTATTATCATGATGTGACCAGGAATATTGCATAATATAATTAATATTTATCATACGGATGTAGTAAAATAACTAATTAAATAGTTTGTTTTTCATGATGTTTATTTAAATGATATAAGTAAAATTGTTCACCACCATAATATATTCTTGGCATAGGGCTATGCAACGGTTAGTTATGTAACTATCTTGTCTAACACACTAAATGGCCTACAATATACATTAATTATGATATACTTAAGCTCCGGAGTATATATTAAGAGTTATATAAACGTCAATGTTGAACAGTCATAAGCAATCCAGCATGATCTGAGTGTTAAAAATATGTCTAGGTACATTAAAGTATAAAGCTAGCACTTCTCGACTGGTGTTGATTGATATTTGAACGGTCTCCTGTCGGCTTNTAAGTCGATAACTGACAGATCAATTCACCAAAGACGTATTGAATTCGTACTGCCATCGATTAATTGGATTTCCAGCAGCTCTTTGTTTTTCTAATAAATGCGATACAGCTACTTATAAACACTATTTTCAATGTATTAAAAATACAATAGGAATAATAAATCCATCAATTTTTATGTCCGATGATGAACCCGCGTTTTATAATGCATGGAATTGTGTGATGGGATCTGTTGAAAAACAATTATTATGTACATGGCATATTCTAAGAAACTGGTCAAAAAATTAAAAAAAAATTCAATCACATGACAAAAAAACCATTGTTTTTAAAACTCTTGCACGAAACCGATGAGAAAGCTTTTTCAGCAGAACTTTCACAGGTTATAAGCCAACTTCTTAATGATGCTGATACGGTGGACTTTGAAAAATATTTTATAAGTACCTATTCAACAAGAGTAGAAAAATGGGCATTTTTTAATAGGCAACATTTGGGAATTAATACAAATATGTATTTAGAATCGTTGCATAAAAGTATAAAATATTGTTATCTTGAAGGAAAACAGTGTAAGCGATTAGATTTGTGAATTAATGCTTTAATGCTACTAGTCAGGGATAAAAGCTTTGAAAGAACCATCAAAATCACTAAACAAAAACGATCTACCAAGTTATTAGAAATAATTGCAAGTCACAATAAAAGTAAAAATATTTTGCCAGAAATGAGAGTGAAATTTGACAATTATTGGTTAGTGAATTCTGAAAAAGATATTAATAGGATGTCAGCGTAAAATAAAACGTATGCAACGCTCAAGAGATGGCGTTGAATTCCATATCGCCGCCGCCGCAGCAGACTGTGACCACGCCCATTGTCTACGCGACGGGGTTCGAAAGTCATAATAAATTACGGGAGAGACACATTATTATTGCCATTGATTAAATACAAATAGATAGCCCACGCCTGTACGTTGTTTGGCAGCGCTCTGTACCCGATATTGGGACCCTAATATTTATTAGTTTGGACCCCATACGTTAGAGTTCGCATTGACTGTTGTGCATTATTAGAAAAAACGATAAAATTTCTATTTATTCCATGAAAAATTGAAAAACATTGATAGTACTATATTGCTGAGTACCTGTGGCGGTACTCAACGCTGCGGTTTTTATTTATTATCATTTATTATTATATTGTTTTTTGTATTAGTAATAATTATCTTGTTACGGTCTGACGTTATCGTCGGCGGCCGAGTGAACGTTCCTTACTTCACTCGGTCAATGACTGAGGCGTAGAACGCCGCCCGACCGAGTCGACCGCTCTCTCTTTCGCCGACCGTCGTGCGATAACCAGTCCGCTTTACTTAAGTTTTGTCCGTGTGTTATTCAGTTTTATATATTTTGTATTTCACATAACGCGTATCGTGTTTGAAACCAACTAATATACGAAACTCGTCAAATTACTTACATCAACCTTTGTGTTACAATTATTTCATACCTGAGTTCCCACCTGTGACAATTACGAGCACAGTGATAATGTTTACAATAAAATTAGTTGTGTGATAAACCGAATTACCACATTGGTGACCTTCTTTTTTCAAACCTTCCGTCGTCAGTCGTCAGTTCGTCACGCGTGTTCGTTAATTTTTTTTCGTTGTTTCTCTCGTACGTTTTTGACTCGCGTCATGGACCTTTTAGACGTTTACACACTCGATGGCACCGTAAATCAACCCATAGAGGACCCGAATGCCGGAAAGGTACAACCGCCGCCTTTTCCTAATGTCGAGCCTCGAGCCGATAATGCCTCCTCCTAAGCACCGTGGCCGAACACGATCGCCGCGATCGAGCACGTCCGTCTCCCTAGTTTTTGGCGGCATACGCCGCAACAGTGGTTTATCCACGCCGAAGCAATTTTTCACAGCAACCGAGTCAGGTCAGACTTGACTAAGGTAAACCACGTGCTCACGGCACTCGACGCGGATGGCATACGAACAGTCGCAGACCTATTAGGTGCGGACGCGCAATATTCGGTAGTGCGCAATCGGCTCATATCTGCATACGCCGTTCCGCAAGCAACGCGTTTCCGATCTATTGTACAACCCGGAGGCATGGGTGACCGCCGCCCGTCACAGATGCTCCGTGATATGCGCGGCGTGCTACCAGAAGGTATCGGTGACGCCGCTCTCAAGGAGTTCTGGCTACAGAAGCTGCCACCAGCCATTCTCACCGTAATTTCTGGGCTCGACGGATCGTTGGATTCTTTGGCTGAACGTGCCGACCGAGTTATGGACGCAAGTACCTCACGCGAAATTTCCGCTGTGTCCGACCATTGTTGCCGTTCGATGGAAAGTGCGTTCGCAGCGTTAACCGCGCAGATTGCTGCTCTCGTCACGTCACAATCCACGCAAAACCGTCAACCTCGTTCGGGAAACCGCTCACGCACGCGATCGCGCACCCGTTCACAGTCTCGACAGCGTAATAAAGACTTGTGCTACTACCACGACCGCTTTGGTAAAGATGCCAAAAACTGCCGCGATCCTTGCAACTTCAACTCAAAAAACTGCTAGAGGCGGCAGAAGCCACTCTGCCTCCCGCCGCCCGTGTATCGCGTAGACTGTTTGTCAACGACATCCGGACGGGCAAGAAGAACCTCGTCGACTCCGGAGCTGAGTTGTCAGTGATGCCATCGACGACGGGCACACCTCGCACTTCGGACATCGTACTTACCGCCGCGAACGGCACACGGATCGCCACGTACGGACCAAAAACCGTCCATCTTGACCTTGGTTTTCCTCGTAAGTTTACTTGGACATTCGAGATGGCGGATGTAGCACGACCAATAATCAGAGCGGACTTCCTCCATTATTAAGGACTACTGATCGACATCCGTTGCAACCGTCTCATTGACCGCGACAGTCATAAAACTATTTCAGCGTGCGCGGCTGACACAACGACTGATTCCACCGTATTTACCGTTTCTAAGCCGATCAAATGGACCGAGCTGCTTTGCGAGTTCCCGGATATCACCCGTGAATCACCGGTTCCTAAAAAATTTCTCCACGGCGTAGTGCATGAATTGCACACCAGCGGACCGGCACTTTTTTCCCGACCACGTCGTCTGCCACCGGACCGTCTGCAAATCGCCCGTCGAGAGTTTGATTTCATGCAAAAAAAAGGTATTTGTCGACCGTCGTCCAGCGCTTGGGCCAGCCCCTTACTCTTGGTCCCCAAGAAAGATGGTTCTTTTCGTCCTTGCGGCGACTATCGTCGGTTGAATGCAGTCACTATCCCGGATCGATACCCACTACAGCACGTACACGACTTCACGTCCAATCTCGATAACCGAACAATCTTTACAAAATTAGATTTGGTTCGCGCGTACCACCAGATACCAATCACTGAAAGAGATATCCATAAAACCGCAGTAACAACGCCTTTCGGGCTTTATGAATTCCCTGTAATGTGTTTTGGACTCCGTAATGCTGCACAGACCTTTCAGCGCGTCGTGAACGAGGTTTTACGTGGTTTGCATTTTGCTTTCGCCTACATCGATGATGTTCTTATCGCGTCTCACAGCGAACAAGAACACGAAGAACACGTCCGCGCTGTCCTCGGACGCTTTCAAAAGCACGGTATCGCCATCAATCCCGCTAAATGCGTATACGCAGTCGAAACATTGACTTTTTTGGGACACGTCATTGACCAAAACGCCTGTCGCCCCAACCCGGAACGCATAGCAGTTATACGCGATTGGCCCTTACCAATAACAAAAAAGGGACTGCAACGCTTCCTGGGTTCGCTTAACTTTTACCACCGTTTTATACCAAACGCGGCTCGTATTCAAGCGCCCTTGTACAACCTTGCGTCGTCTATTAAAAAACGCGACGGCCCCCT